GCTGGGCTGGGCAAGGGCAGGGAGCAGCAGGAGGCGGCGGCGGACTTCTGCCTGGAAGGAGATGTTTTAGAGGCCTCCAGAAGAAATCCTGCTGCAAACACTTCTACCTACTCCAGGGAGGAAGAATTTATCCCTGACTATTAAGTGGCATCTTTTTATCCTTCTTAATCATATAAGGGAACATTTGTTCCCTTGTATCCTAAACCTCTGCTCAAGCCGTGCAACCACCGGTGTTAAGTGAAGAACATTACTTAAAGCACATCAAGGAGCCAGATAGTTCCATGATAGACAGCAGCTGAACTTTGCTTGGAGCAAAAATCTCTGCTGAGCAAGAAAAACAGCAAAACCTCCACCTAGTATCTATCACTGCTGAGGGTAACTTTGGACCCGTTAGTGTAGTAATAATCAGTACTCACTTCCCTGGGCAGCACACTTTGCTCCTTGTCTTGCAGGAGGATTGCTCCTATCAAATGCCTACGTTCTTCTCTCTCTCATGACACTTCCTGTACTCAGTGAATCCCCAGCAAGGCAAATCTATCAAAGGCAGACCTTTTAACAGAAACAATACTTGTATCAGATACTTGCACGAGCAATGCTAAAACTAACACATCCTGTCAGAATTCAGCACAGCCAAGTTGAGGAGTAACAGCTTTTTCCTTATTTTCTGGTTACCTGTAATGCTCAGCAGGATATTGTGCCTTGGCCTGCACCTGCTGAATGAAATGCTCTGCTGCTAGAGACCGAGTGCATATATCCACAAAACAGACATTTCCTTTTGTACAGCTGGATGCTGAAGCCCTGCACTAATGTAGGATGTACACTCTGTTTTATGTTGTAGAGTTCTCTGAAATTTCGCTGGTTGAGACATTTGGCTCAGGGTTGGAGGAGGTGGGCAGGGAGAGATTGAACATATCCCATTCTTCCAACAAACTGACATGGCAAAGGTAAATACTTTTTCATTTAAGGTTATGGGCTGGACAGCATTCATGAATCCTGTGATCCAGTGGAAGCTGTAAGGAAATCTGAAGCAATATTTGTTGGTAAGTTTTACTTCTTACTCCCCAGTGAAGGTTTATATAGGACACAGAATTAGTCCTGCTCAGAGGTGACACTAAAGACCAATTATTAAGCAGACAGGCCTAGTAATTGGAAACTACAGAAGACAGTACTTGGGAGCCCTAAGACCCTAAATTTGGTGGTGGACTGGAAAGTAGATTTCTTAATGGAACTTCATCTCCAGTAAATTTCAAATTATTATTTTGAACAGTACCTCAGTGTAAAAACATGATCATAACAGTTGTATCATCACTTTATCAAGCCCAAGAAGTTCTAGTCCTAATACTATGGTCCTGGGTAGTGGAAGGGAGGTCATTGTCAGACTGTGGCAGCCTTACAAGGATGACTCAGGGCATGCCCGTGGCCTGCCCAATGACCATTCTTCTGAAGCTTCTGGTTTTACTGCTTCTCAAAGCAGGATACTGCCCTGGATAGAGAATAGAACTCACTGCGCCTGCCAAGTTTGTAAAGGCTTCAATTAAAACTGATGGTGAAAGCATGTTAAATAAGCTGAATTTTCTTTCTGCAGGAGGTGGGAACACATTCCGTCTCCTGAAAGCTCTTTATGACAACAGTCTGATACATGAGATCAGGAAGAGAGTTCTTGAGGTAAAACTAGAGATTCTGGCCAAGCCTGAATGGCAGGATCTCATACATGAGCTTTTGTTCAGACAAATCCAAGCTGATTCTGCATTTTTGTCTCTAATATTCTTCACATATCAGGCCATCTCAAACAACCTGGGGAACTGAAAGTCATGGCCAAATAAGGTCACCATTGAGCCACTGAAAAGACTTAAGGTCCGCAGTCTTCCTAGAGCAGTTTTCTAGATGCTGGATTGGGATTTACAATGCTACATAGAACCCTAGAAGTAAATCCCTCAAAATACCAGTCAAAAGACCAGTGCAGGATTTAATCTGTCAGGAAAAACCTGTTTTCAGTTGAGATGTGGACTCCATATCTTGTTGATATAGATGTGTTCATGTTGCAGGTTGTGTGCTAATAAACTGGTGATAAAGTTGGATCCATACATGCCTTTTAGACAGTGTCCTGTTGCTGCTGCAAATTATGTAATTTTTGTGTCTCCTTGGAACTGAGAGGTGTGAGTGCCACTGAGCCCCTCTGGTCAGCAGCACCAGTCTAGGTGGTGAATCTCACAAGGCACAGCATTTCTGGAGGAGAACACAAGCAATGTGTTCCCTAGCAATGTGGAATTGCAATTGACTTTATGCAGATTTATACAAGCCACAGTAAGGCCAGCTGCCAAGAATAAAGGTTAGCTAGGCTTAATATATAGAAATTCAATGTCTGTTGTGGGAATGAAAGCCAAAAAATGTCCAAATACCAGTTAAGTCTGGATGACTACTTGGTTATATTGCCACCAGTTGTCTCAAGACAGCTCTATTTTTACAAATTGTTCAGATATTACCTGTATACTTGCATATTATATGGCATTCTTCTGTGTACAGCACAGTACTCAGTACTAATACCTAAACAGTGCTAAACTGGTCACGGTACTGGTAAGTTGATGCTGTGACAACATTGCACTGAGCTTCCAATCGTCTGGTCTCTTCAGAAGCTAGTTAAAAAGCCAGTTCAGATATTTCCTGTAACTGCAATAGAGGCAAGTCTCTTAATAGCCAAGTCCAACATGCACCAACAGCCTGGTAAGTTCTCTCTTGAGGGGTTACAGAGTTGTGAGTACAAGGCAGGCCAGCAGTTAGTTCTCTGACACTTAGAAGCTACTGCCCACCTCAGAACCTGAATTCTTGTTCTGCTTTTCACCTGTAAAATTAGCAGTGAGATGAGCTAGAAGGAGTAAGTCTGATCTGACTGATGAGTCTCTGAGATTGACAGAGGATGCTATAAAACTGAGTTCCTAGTTGTGATACTGCAGATTGATCATTGCTTTTGTCTTTCAGGATGGGATTCCTTACATGGGATCCAGCGCAGGAACCAACGTTGCTACCGTCAGCATCAATACCACCAATGACATGCCAATTGTTTATCCACCTTCCCTGCAGGCTCTAGGATTAGTTCCTTTTAATATTAACCCCCACTACCTGGACCCAGACATTAAAAGAACTCACATGGGGGTAAGTAAAGCACACCAGAACTAACACAGTAACCAGGGTGTGGAGAAGTAAAAATAGTGTGCATTTTTGAGGCCTTACAAAGCTATAGAATGTCAAACAGCTGCTCCCTAGAGAATCTGGAAATGCCAATGAGGCAGTAACACTTTACTTCCTCCTAAAACTTAACTTTGCTTGGGAAGAGACGTTGGAAACAGAATTACTGAACAAAGTGTTTTTCACAAACAGAAGCTCTGCAATGTCTGAAATACCATTGAAATGCTTGGTATCTGGCATGGAATGGGGGAATTTAAAAAAAAAAAAGATAAACCTGAAGTGTTAAGATGCAAAGCACTGTGGTTCTGGAAATTTCTGTCTTACCTGTTGCTCGAGAAGACCTGACTTAAACATAGATTAAGAGGCTGAAATATCTGGTGGTCTGAAGAAATGATCAGAACAGGGAGATCTCGAGATTCATACAGTTCTTTTGTAAGAAAATACCTGGGCACAGGTGTCCTTGCAGGGAGAACAGCCTATAATGTCCAGTACAGAGCAAGTACATGCACTAGTATAGCTGAAAGAAAAACACTTCAGCCATCAAGCACAGACAGATTTCCGTACAGTGGGGAGGAGCTCCTTCTTGAATAACATTGTCAGCTAACTCCTCAGAGAACAATCTGTGTGGTGCATCTTGTAACAACCTCAGTTCTTTCCTCCTTGTAATCAAAATTCCATGGTTAAAAGAAGTATTAAGAATTAGGGAACAATGAATAGATGGTGAATATGGATGTGCTTCTAGAATTTAGATGAAGTTGTAGGTATTAATTTAATCAGCTTGTCACTAGATATGCAGGCAGTCTTTTCCCTATAAATAACTTCTGCTCTTTCTCTCAGAACAGACTGGAAGCTCTGTGCTGTATCAAGTCCTTGCTGTGTTCCTATGTTTTTATTTCTTTACTGTTGCTCAGTTCAGCAGCAAACCTCAGGAAACAGGACAGAGCTGTTCACAGAAGGAAACTCTTCAGTGGAATACCTACTTGAAGACAAACAAGCAAATACTTAGTCACTGAAAATTCAATGCTCACTTCCACCAAGGTGGCACCTCAGGCATTTGCTTCTACCACCATCCTCATAGTATTAGTACTGTCTCTGCACACAGAGATAGCACTAATTAAAAAAAAACCAAAAACATGGATGAATGGAGTAGGACTAAGTTTTAAGGCTTTTCAGGGTTAGGATTTTGTGAGTTCTGTTTGATCAACCTGCAGTAAAGTGATGAAGGGTAAAACATCTATTAAGAGTCAATCTTGCTATCTGATTCTGCTTGAGGGGAAGTGCCTTCTTTGTTTAATGTTATGAAATTGTTTGGTGTCATGCTGCTTGGATAGCTCCAAGTCCTACCTTGTGGTGCAGGAATCTAAATCTATACTCATTATTGCAGGAGACGAGAGAGGAAAGAATCCGCCAGTATCACGAAGAACCAAACACCCCTCCGGTTCTGGTGAGCAGTAGTTCTCCAGCAGGAAGCTGTAGCATGAGAAACATTTTAAGTGCATTCATACTAGCTCTCAGTGTGGGTTCCCTGCCTGTCAGTACTTACTAAACCACAGCTTGGAATGCTAATTGTATTCTTGCTAAGAGCTTCAGCCTTTGATATTGCTCATGGTAGAAAATGAGTTAGGGTCAATGAAATGCATATTCCTGTTAGTGTTGCTCAACACTATTTTAGGCAGCTCTGATCTTCCCAGTCACAGGCCACCATATATTGTGTGTTGGGGGAGGTGTGCATGCAGATGGTACAAAATTCCCCTTAATCTTTTTGCAGATACTCTTAACTTTAATCTCTGTAATATAGTTTCTGAATTTGCACATTCAGCAGCATATATGTAATTTCATTATGTCTGTCTGGGGAAGTGGAACCCCTATATGTTTCCTGTCCCTGTGTTTGATCCTGTAGTAAAAAGTTTGTGCACTAACAAACCCACCTTGGCCCAAACTGGATCTAAGAATAACTGGTAAAAAAGTTTCCTCTCCTCCTTAATGGTAGTCTCTCCTTTAAGAGTGAAAACTGAAATAAACAAAGAAATCAACTTCTAAAACAAGGCAACAGAGGCAAAGACAAAATTAGCTGAGTTAAGTAAGTGAGAAGGTTTAATCTCTAGTCATGGTGGCACTAAGACTAGGCTGCTTGTGACAAGCATTCTAGCCTTTCATACAGTGTGAAAATGATTTAAAATGTTTCCACCTTCACACCAGGGCTTGCGGGAAGGTACAATGCTGTTAGTGGAAGGAGATAAAGCCACGCTGCAAGGAGTGACAGGAGCACGTCTGTTTTTGAGGTAAATGTTTCACTTGAATTGATAACCTTCAGACAGGAAGAGAGGCTTCAGTTAGATTCCTGGCACATGCTGTCCATCCCTCACATCAGAAGTTACTTAATCCCTTGGTTCCATTTCTCTCTGGGCAAAATGTGAGTATTGTTTAATGCTCCAAAGGAGCCAGGAGTATGACAGCGCTCTAAAGGATATCTGACTTACCCAGTGTGTACTTTGGCATTGCATCCATTGATGCTTATGTTTCCAAATTCTAGTTAGCCACTTTGGCCCTAATGCACTGAACTCCAGAACAAGGGAATCCATATCTAGAATTACATGGACTTTATTAAGAAATCTGAAATGCATGTCACTTGATGTAGGCACAGAAGGGAGTCAGAACTCTGCTTGTTCAGAATAAGGGTGCCTTGCTCCATCCCTAGTAACATATAGAAGCAGAGTAGTCCCACCTCCCATTAAAGCTCACAGCATGGTTTATCTTGTTTGCAGGGGTAAGAAGCCAACTGAACATGAGCCCGGAACAGATTTCAGTTTCCTCCTGACTGACAGCAATCCCCTGAATCCATAGCATTCCATATTCTGCAGCAGAAGTTACTATATGGGGAACACAATGAGGAAGAAGGAAAAAGATGCTTGTAGTCCCATGGTGGGTGGGGAACTTCAGCTTTATAAAATAAAGATAAAAATGCATTAGTGACTCTTTTCCTCACCTCAGTGCATGTCTCTGACATCTTCCAAGCAAAAAGACTGGTTTTTTTTGCAATACTTGCATAATCATAGCTATTCACAGCTTGAAGGGGCCTGTACATTCAAGTATCCACTTTGATTCCTTCCCCACCAAAAAACAGCTGTTCCCACTGCCTACTTTTACCTGATAAATAAAAGAATTGTTCATTCAGTTTACTCCCACACTCTGCTTAATTTTTGTGCTATTAATAAAGGGAGAAGTTATGCATTCAATTACTTTTATTTGCTTCAGACTCATGTTAAATATATACAATGCTAATTATGTACAAAAGTGTGCATGTTAAAAATTTTCAGGTTACAAACTTGCAAATCCTAGAAAAGTGCAAAATTTTAAAACATCTTCCACCATGCTGTACAGGAAAAAAAATCCATCATTAGCCAATATACACACTCTTAAAACATATTGATCAAAACAAAGTAAGACATACAGTATACTCTTAAAGCACCCAGAGGGAAAAAGATATTGCACAGAAGACAGACAGCAAGTTCATTAACAGTGCCTGAAGGCTCATTTCTAAAAGTAGCTATTTCCAACACTCCTCAGACCTAACATTTAACTCTTTAAAAAGGCATTTTTTGGCATTTAAAGATCCATTTGTAATCATATCATTGCACAATCTGTAAGAATTATCAGAAGATATGGTTAACTGTTGCTGTAAGGTCTTTGTTTCCACCCCGATTGGTGTCAGTAAAAATTCATCAGGCAAATGGCATCACAACTTCCATCAAAACACTGACCAAAGGGAGGCAAGTCTCACATGCAGCATTTCTCTAATCTCATACTAAGTTGTTCCTGCAAAATCAGAATATGTATTGCAAGTTTTTCTTTAATTCCTTTTTCCCCTCATGGCTTCCTTTAAGACACAGCTTACAGCTGTGTGACTAAAGTAGTATTGTCAGGTGCAAGACTTAAGTTTATTTTAAAGCTATTTCAAGGCATAAAGATATGGCTCCCTTGAGAGGAAAATACTGACCAGATAGGAAGCTAAATAAACAAGTGGCCTCCAAGTTCAGTTAGATCTATGATGTATGTGGCTGGATGTTTTGTATTCCAATCTCAAAACACCTTAGCAGCTTTAAACCATAATCTATATTGACAATTGTGTTTCTGGGACAGAAGATGTGTGATGAAATTGTGTCTGTGTTGAGTATAAGCACAGACCTAAACTCTGGAAATACCTGCCAAATTTCTCAAGTCCAGTGGACAAAACTAGGAAGAACACACACTGAAGGAATTCTATTGCAAACAAGTGAAACACCTATTTTATTTGGGCTACTTAGGTAAATGGTAACTAAAAGAAAAACACACCAGTCTTCTTCCACAGATGCACAGCAAAAAGGGGAGTTAAAACTGAACAAAGGCTACCTTGGACTAAACACTGCAGGCAGTTCCTCCCATGTGGGGTGGTCAAGACTGCAGTGAGGTGAATGGCACTTAACTGAAATGCAGAGCATGCTATGGTGCCATTCAGAGGCATTTTTACATTCAGGCACCTGATATCTGTAACACTGAAGAAGGGTACGATAGCATTTTACCAATTTTAATTTTTTTTTTAATGCAGTAGCTTTTTAGAAAACCTTGTCCTTCAAAACTATGTGCTTACAAGGGCAGTTTAGTAATAATAAGATTGGCTCCTTGTAATGGAAGACATCTTCCAAACCCTTCAGTTGACTCTAACATTGGCATACAATGAACCCACATGTATATACCATGGAAACTTATTCTCCCTAAAAGGAGACTACCAACAAGTGTCATATTTGCAGCCGAAACCAACACAGCTTATAAGCCAGAAAGCACAAAAATACCTAGAAAGCACTGAAGCACATGCTTGAATTTCCATTCAAATAAACATAATCCTATGTAGTGCTTTCACATAACAGTATTTATTAGATCAGGCCATAGGCTCACATTACGATATACATTTATATGTGCACATTTCCTTTTTTTTAATTCCTTGAAAGGGAAAAAAATATTCACAGCACCTCAGCTCAGCATTTAACATAGTCACCAAGGTGCCTTTAGCAGTGGAAGACAGGAATGTTTCAGGTGACAATACAGAGCACGTGTCTACAGACTCTCAATATAGGAGCAGAAGGAGGTCGACCTCTCTACACCCCTTCAGCTCTAAAGCTCCCTACCATCCTATAATCTGTATATAGATAGACATTTTCAACTAAATACATGTACATAGTAAAAGCTTTGTGCAGCATTTGGTTCCTTTGCTTATCTTTTCTAATGATTTTGTTAATTAAGATTGGGAAAGGTTTGCAAAGGAAACAGGGAGGAGGAAGACATGGTTTAGGGAAGTGAGGTATACAGCTCCCATTGACTAAAGCAGGAGTTAAAAGACCTACCTGATCTGTGCATTACAAAAATAAATTTATCATTCCTGCAGGACCATTTTAAAGCAGACTGATTTTACCAGTCCCATATATAATTTTTCCAGTGCAGAAACTTAGTTCTTTGCACTCATTTAAAGGACGAAGAAATACAACTTTCAAGGGGATCCTTTTAAGACAACCAATTAACTTAGCCATTTAAAGCCTCTGAAGACCAATAAACCTGTTTTGTGATAATATGCATGATCTAAAGTATGCCAGAGGGGAAAATGCCTGTTTATATCAATGTTGCATATTAGCAAAACAATTATAATATGGATGTGGGCACGTCTGGGTTTTTTTTGAGGGGAAGTTGTGGGGATTTAAGGTGGTTTGGTTTTTAGTTTCAGTTTTTTCTTTTTTTCCTCTTTTTTAGCCATCAGGACAAATGCAGTTACTTTAGGACTGGGATTATTATGTTGTGCTGGTAAGGTACATGGGTAATAGAAGATGTGGTTTCTAGATATCCTACGAGTGAGTAATGGATACTGGAACACAAAAATTTGCCTAAGTCAGATGCTAATTTGAAGATCACTTTCTGTATGTTTGTGTAGTTCAAACCCAGCAAAGACTAGATGGGATTCTTCACTATAGCTAAAAAGACAACTAAAAATATTATCAAGAATTGTAAGCTACAAAGAAGTTAATACTGCTAACTACTTGATCTCATTTATATACAGGTATGAAAAGTAGGTCAGTTTTCAGTTTCTTTTAGATATATATATATTTACACTCCTACTCATTCATCTTCAAAGGTAAGCATAGGTTAAACTTTGATAAATATTATTAGAGTTCTTCCAAAAATTAAACATATGAAGATATCACAAAGAAGATCTTGACAAATGTAATGCTATGAAACAAATGTCACTTAAGACTTGTTTGCAGCTAAATGTTCTTAAATGTTCTAAATTTCTCATTGGAATCCACCCATCTCAAAACTTTACTTTTTTACACTTGAACAAATCTTCTATCAAAACCAAAGGAGAATCTTATTTCACCAATACTACCTGAAAAACAAAATGGGATCCCAAGCTTTACTGACTTGAGAAAATCAAAGAATTACGAAAGTCAGTTCACCAATTCACAGTGCACTGTGTAACAGGATGCAATTCAACTGCCCTAAATAGCTAATCAGAAATATTATTTTCTATTTTTAAACATTATTGTCTTCTTTTCATGGAAATAAGTTAAACCTAAAAGAAACAACATACCAGCAAATGCTCAGACTTACAACTCTTATTTAAAGCTGGTTTTAAATAAAGGCAAAGTGCAGACCTTCAAAGCTATGGAGGTCCTTCCAGGACCATCTGGCAAGGATGCCAAGCATGTGACGGTGTACATCTCCCACCCCCAAGGACCAGATCTCAGACACAAAGGCCATGGATGTTGCCATTCTACCTGGGGCATAAAGCAGCTCAGAGCTCACCTGTGCCCTCCTCATTCTGCTGCTGCTGCTCTGCACTGAGCACAGACTAGTCTTGAGTTTGAGAGCCCAAGAACTGTCCACATTTAAGCCTATCCCAGGTATTTGTGATGATCACCCAGTGCTTGTGATGCACTGAAATTATGCTATTCAAATGTCAAATGTCTTCATCATAAACTGTTTCAATTATTGCAACATTATCTTTTACCTTAACTGACACACTGTATTCAGTATCCTTTAATATTCAACTATTAAAAATATGAACTCAGCTGTTGTACAAAATGTACCTAAGCCCCAACAGGTTCTCAAATGTGTATGCAAAGCCCTCTTTGCAAGTGAGAAGAAGAAAACTGTGCTCCCACCAAGCACTACATAAGATTCGTCTCCCTTTTTCCATTTGATTCTCATAGCCTAAAACACGATAATTTCTTGCCCCCTTCCCCCCCAAATAAACACTTAGCCTTGTCTATGCATTTAAACACAACATTTATGCATACATATAAAACCCATCAATTCAGTGCCCCAACTGAGTTTTTTCAATCTCCCATAACACAGAAAGATCTCACATTCTGAGCTGAAATACCACTAAACTACTCTCTAAAGAGGTCCCCTGAAATCCCTTCTTCATGAAATCATAATGGACAAACATACTTCACATTCTCATGAACAAACTTAATACTTCCACAGTATCCTTAGTATTCTTAATAGATAGGCAGTTGACTAAAAATAGTATTTCTCACTTCTCTAGAGCTTATTTGAAAATATGGGATGTGGGTTAAGTTATACTTTTTTACATACATGGAGTATGAAAAAACCCACACCACTTTACTTTTGGAAGTTGAATCCTCTCTTAGCAAGTGACTCAGGATAATAATTCTTATTTTCTCCTAACTTTCCAGACAATCCAGTCTGTCACAGTGATTAGGCAGAATATTGCAACTATGCATAGACCCACTTGTTCACTAATCTGATTTATTATTTCATTTACAAAAGTTAATAAAATGCAACACAACTTTCTTTACAAATTACACCAATCAGCCATCAAGAGGGATTTTTTTCCAGTAAAGAAAGTGAGGAGGAGAAATCAGTTTGAATGAAACTAACATAACTTGTAAAGATTATCCTTTAGCAGGGTAAGGAGGTATTATTATTTCTATAAAGTTAATAAATATTGTGCTTAAAGTTAATGAAATGAGATTATACATTATGTTTCTCAGGTAGTTCAACAGCTCCCCAGCCACAGGGAATATCTGATAACATTTATGAGAGATACAACACACATTCATTTCAATAAATAAATAAAAAATAACAAGAAAAGGGATGGTAGAGGGAAGAAAGGAGGACCCAAAAGGGAACACACTAGCTAACAATCACTTACACCTGCCTTGTATCTGTGCTCCCCTCACCCCATGGG